AGCCTTAGTCCGGCTCAATACTACTTCAACCCGAGCATCGATAATCTTAGCCCTGACCTTCGAAAGTTCGGACTCGAGCTTCGTGATCATATCCTCTTGAACTGAAGCGTTGTCACGAGTCAAACGGAGTTGGGCCTCGAAGGCAGGAATTTTAGTCAAGGCACCTTTCTCCTATGAAGCTTGAGCCTTCTCTTGAGCTTTTAGCTCGTCACAATCATTCCTAACTAGGTCGGCTTCACCCCTAAGGTGCTCCAGAGCCTCTGCTTTTTCTGCAACTGAGATAGGAATAAAGTTAACCCAAAAGGTTAAAAAGCGAAACGCATACCATAGGGAATTACTTGCTCTGTCAAATAGCTCTCGTAATTCGAGCTCCGCCTCATATCGCCAGTGCATCAACTCAACTTCCTTCTCCTTGCAAAGGAGACTAAGGGGTCTACCCATCCAGAGCTTTCCGAAGCCTAGCCCCATGAAAGAGCAGCTAAGACCTAAGACTTTCAAAGGCCTGCAGAAGAAAAACTCGATAAGGAAGGGAAGACACGAGATGCGGAAGGCCTGTGCCAAAACTCACCGCGAAGTGAAGCCGGCAGACTTCCTCGAAGGCCGAGCACACTTTTGTTGATCCAACCCCGTCTGCCCTGGAAGAACCAACCTCGGTCGAAGCATGATCACTCGGAGGAACCTCTACTCCAGAACCAGAGACTTTGGGTACAGTAGGCTTGGGCGATGTTTTCTCCTTGAAAACTCGGACCCGTTTCGCCCTGCTAAGAGCTCCATCGTACTGCAAGTGCATATCCCGTTTATCACTATTGTCCTTTGGCTCGGGAACTGGCAACTCCTCTCCCTCTCCGGAGGAGCACAACCTCACCCTTGGGGACCTTCCGATACCTAAGACGGCAAGGTTAGTACATAAAAACATAAAAATGTCGAAGGACAAGGTAAAAGCAGCGTACGCACATATCTTGGTATTTTGCTTCCCATCTACCCCAAGACACAACTCGCCACTTACGCTCGTCACAGTAGAATGGGTTGCCAGCTTTCGGACCCAGCCGGGCAGATCAGGAACTTCGCCCGGAGCCCATGAAATTGCTGCAAAAAAAGAAGGAAACGCGATTACTAAACTAGCTTTTACCATGAGCGAATCTGAGAAAGCAAGAGACGCTCCACTCACGCGTGTAATTCCATTCCTCGGGGAATGGCATAAGTTCCATAGGTATAATGTCAGTCGTCCAAGTCCGGACGGATCGACTAATCCATTCTCGATCTCAATCTCTCATCATCAATAACAAAGGGCGTGGACGAACGACACCGCAAGGTTAGTAGACCTCGATGATAAAAGGGTCGGTAAAACCTGACAAGGTGACTTAGCGTGTATTCAAGCCCTGCTTTCTCCGCAAAGAACCTCATCATCAACACTATTCGCCAAAATGACGGATGTATCTGCGCCAGAGTAACCCGGTACATTAACAGAAATCGAGCACTAACCTATCAAGGGGGCGCGCGAAAGGGTACAAGTACACGTTCGGGAATCTATCGGCGAGGTTCGTGATACCCTCATCCAGGGGAAGCGCCTGCAACGCTACCCCCTCGCCCCATCCCCAATCTCTCCTTACTTTTTCCAGATGCTCCTCTCTTATTGAAGACACAGTCTTCAGGGTAAACTCCCGTTGATCCTAAGCATTGGGAATGGAACTCTCCCCTCCCTGCCGGGCAGACCCTAAAGAAGCAGTCATGGATATGATGGAACTAGCGAACTGAAGCGGGAACCTACATGAACACTTTGGCGCTTAAGGTCACAAAGGACTCGATGCCAAAGCGGAAGGATAGCTATATAGAATAATGGGATCTTCCAAGAAGCGGGAGCAACCCCATATATATGTGGGGAAACAACAACGATTCGCCTGCCTAGGTTACGCCCGGTGGCCAACGGCTTTAGTACGGGCTCCGAGGTGGTACCCGACTCTATGGAACTCCGTCAAAAGGAAGCTAGGCTTCAAAAGGTCAGCGACATCGTCTCCAATCTCGAGAAGGTATCCAACCTCGAAGGTTCCTCCCAAGAAGAAAAGTAAGGCTCCGTCCGTGAGGGTTCGACCTTAGGACGTCACCCGGCCATGAGCAACCTCTCCACATGAGCCCATCTGCGACGCCTTAAAAGGTTATCTACATCAAGTTCAAAGTAAATCTCCAGGTGCTCGAAGCTGACCTTCACTCAGAGACCACCCTCGAAGATTTAAAGGTTCGATACTCCATCTTCATGCGGTTTGAAGGTCCCGATGACCCGAGTCTATTGGATCTCTTCAGCCTTGGTCCGAGGAACCACGGTAGGCTCGGAAAGGAGCCATTTCTATCGACCAAAAACCGGGAAAGATATCGACAATCATCAACAAAGGCATACATTCAAAATCCCCGCAAATGTATGAGAATATTGCAGATGTCAAAAGCAGAAGCAAAGAAGATGGCTTTATAATTCATGAATATTGGCTTACAATAGCCCTCGGGGGGTCCTTACATACAATTACAAAAGCTCTTAAGGGATCCTTACACAGAAACAAAGAAACAAAGGGGCATACACCCATGGTGAAAACCTAAGACCCTAGTCTACTCTCGAAGATCCACCTCGTGCAACAACGCCTCCGGGCACGCATCCTCAGAAGCCTTATCTCGGCCTTCCACACTAATATCCCCAAACGATAAGTCGAGAAGTAGGGAGGGATGAAAAAATGCCATAGCCCGCCAAAGGTCGAGGACCTTCACTGGCCAAGAGAACCTCGGAGAGACAACAGACCTGGCGCATATCGGCCTTGCTTGCACGGCCACTTTGAATCCACTTCTTGGAACATTGAGCCGTGCAAGTTGCCAGCCCGAGGCAAATTGCCACGTCGAGCTGGGGTATGAAGGTGAGTAGCGGTGTATAATCCGAGCTCCCTTGTGAGCATCGGTATATAGTCCGAAGAACTTTCTAAAGTGAGGAAAGTCGACCCCCGTACATCATCGTCTCTAGCCAATAAGGACAACGACAGTAGACGTAAGAAAAAAAACATCAGCGACAAAATGGTATAATCGTGCTCGACAAAGGGGAGCGCAGGCAAAAGGCCACGACACGGGCTATCGGAACGCTGCCAAACAACCTTAAGGCCGTAAACTTCAAACATGGTGATCAATAATAGAGGAAAATGGCGAGGAGAAGGGGATGAATGAGCAAATGAAGACACTTGGATAGAAAAGTAACACCAGAACGCTCCCATTTATAGGAGATAACGACACGGTTATCAAGGCCTTTGGAAGACTGACTGGCAGACGCAATTACTGTGTTCTTGAAAAAATGAATCGACGGCGGTACTTCCACTTTGAAGAACGGGAATCGACAGCACAATACATGGCATCGAAAAGACAAGTCCATGGATTTTCCTACTTAACATGAAAATTCACGCCATAGATTGCATCATCAGTATGACATCGTCATGGTAAGCCCGAGAAGTCGGGTATCATAATCTTTTCCTGTCATTTCGTTCCGAGAAACGTAGAAAGTATCTGTATGTGGCAAAATCAGAAGGTCTGAATTCGTGCTATCAGTCACTTAAGAAGAATACCTCGAGACCCCGAGGACGCGAAGCTGTGACCGAGTTCCCTCCCTTGGAGCCCGTCGAGGTCCGACCTAAAGAGGACGTAGATCGAGGCTAGAGTAAAATGGGGAATTCCGAAGGCGCACGACTAATTCTGACAAAGCCGGCCTACCCAGAGCCTGTGTCAAGGCATCACGTCTCCCATCTCCATGTCTTTACAATTAATGCATTTGTTCTATAACGGGATTCTCCTCCTATATAAAGGGGATCCTCACCACTTTGTAAGGGGTTGATGTTGCTCCAACTATTCTACACAAGATCAATAACAACTCTCTCTCTCTTTTCTCTCTAACTTACTCGCTCAAGGCTACCTCTTTCATTTATTGCTTTCATACTTGTTCTTCACTTATTGCTTGATATTGGCCATAAAGATCCTCCTTTAATTATATCCTAACCGTTAGCCCTTTCCTGATTATCCCCGATAGCTCGAGCCCCAGCCCAGACATCGACCTTGAGGCCTCTCATCGGTCAGTCTGAGGCCCGGACAGTAAGCCCCTCTGTTTGATTATAGCCTTGTTTTAGTTCGTATTTCGTCGTCAAGCTTGACATATCTAGCATCAACTGCCTTAACAACTAGCATAAAAATAGATCACGTATTTTTAGAGTCTTATTAACAAATTTAATTGTTATTACCATTTTCATGGTAAACAAGTGTATTATTTAAGCACAACCGGAGTATTCAAATTTTAGAACTCATGAGATTTTGAGATGCACTGGAATTAACTTCAAGTATAGTCACTACTTTATATATTTACTAGTAGTATCTCTTCACTCATTACACACATATTTCGTATCACTTTCTTAATGAATATATATATCAAAAAATAAATTAGAAATAAACATATATCTCATGAGATTATAAGTGTGGGATATATCGTGGTATTATCTATCCACCTTCTATATGAAATAGCTAACACAATCATTTTAGTACAAGATTTAAACTAACATTAGCTGATACACATTACCAAATATAAAATAACTATAATTTCAAACTTCATAATATAATATACTTATTGCGTTAGCCAAACGACCCCTAATTAAGACCTTTCGTGGACAAAGTTAAGAAGCGTACTCTATATCCAACGTTATATGCATTCTAGGCATGACCCAATAGAGCTTATTTTAATTAGCTGACTTTTAATTTACTTACAGTTCATGGATTTCAAATGTTGAGAGTTGAGACCTCGAAGTTTCGATTCAATTAAAATAACCATTCAATTATTAAGCAAGTTTATTAAACGCTGTATTCTTGAAGTACATTCTGATGGTCTTTGAGATGGTGCCTAACGCCGCCAGCAAGCAAGCCAATGGAGATTTACCAAATTTATTACTCGTTTCAGTACTTTGAAATCATAACTTTTCCTTAATTAAATTGTTTGAAATAGAATCTACTTGGTAAAAGATAACATTTTCATAACTACAATAGCGAACAACCCGTAAGGACTCCCAAAACCCGGTGTCACATGAGCATCTACTAGAAAATATAATAAAATACAACATCTGTCTGGAATACAAGATAGATAGAAGAATGTAAATAACTCATACAGAGAGTGTATTGCGGATCGTAACATGGAGTGCAGCTCACCGTAAAGTCTCCGCATTAACTGCGCCTCTATGCCCAATAGACTACCAGAAGTATATACCTGCACAAAAAGTGCAGCAAGTGTAGTATGAGTACGTAAATCAACGCGTACCCAGTAAGTATCTTCCCAAACCCGGAGTAGTTGTGACGAGGGGTCGACATCGACACATACTAGTGGTCCAATAAAAAATATATGATAGATCATAAGCAGATATGAAGCACAATAATGATAATGGGATAAAACAGTAAATTACATAATCTTCCAAAAATTTCCTTTGAAGATATAATTTCTTAATCTCGTATTCTATCTCTACAACTCAGATGTATCAATGTCACGACCCCAGTTCGCCCTCTGTGAACATGTCGTGATGGCACCTAGTCCCTATAACTAGGTAAGCCTAACAATGCGGAAAACAATATAACTTGCAGAATAATTAATTAAAACTGAACAACTAAAAGAAAAACTATATATAAATGCCGCTCGGCATACACAACTCAATAATGCGGAGGTCTACAATATCACCCCAAAATTCGAAAACCCACGAATCATAAGCTAAGACAAGAAATACTACATAACTCTAACTCCGGAATTTGTCTATCAAGATCAGAAGGTACAGAAGGGCTAAAATACTAAAAGTAGGAATGAAAAGGGACTCCTCGGCCTGCGGACGTGGCAGGTATACCTCGAAGTCTCTGAATAGTCACCTCCCTCAAGGATGATAGACCTGAGAAGAATTACCTGGATCTGCACATGAAAAAAACATGCGCAGAAAAGGCATGAGTACACCACAGCGGTACTCAGTAAGTGTCAAGCCTAACCTCGGTCGGGTAGTGACGAGGAAGGTTAGGGCCCTACTGACGTTAAACAATATAATATGAATTATCAGTATGAAAACAGGCAGTAATAATGAATACAACAGTGAAATAAGACAGGTTAAACAAGGCAATAACAAATACACAAAGAACAGAGTAAACACGGAATATGTACATCTCAATACCAATGGCAACAATGAAGATCTTCCAGGATATCGTCATGTAGTCCTTTTCTCAACTGTCCAGCGGATCTCCTGGTATACCGTCCCGTAGTCCATCATATGTGTATATCCGAAGGATCTCCCGGGGTACCGTCCCATAGTCCATCATATGTGTATATCCGAAGGATATTGAACATTCTGCGGGTCACTCAGTTTTAATTAAACCTTCTGCTTTCACTGAAACTTACCTTTTTTCCGACATTCCTGCTTTTTAAACTCTTATCTTTGAGACCTTATATGTGTTAAGAGACGTGCTAACTACATGCTTACTTGTTGAGGGATTTGTGAGCCTCTTATTTTCCTTTGCATGTTCCCTTTATGTGTAGTCCTACTTGTTATGAATGTCGCCTAGCATTTTGTCCTTTAAACCTAAGGGTTTAGCCTAGTCCTTACCCCGTAGGAATAGTTGGTCTTAAATACCCTCTAGGACTTATAGGAGGGGACGGGTAATAGCACGCAATAAGCACTCGTGACCAATCCACGGGTTTAAATAACCTTTACGGGGTGGGAAGGGTAGAATATGGAGATGATGACCGATGCGCTAATATCACGTGCGACCCCTCTTTTGAGAAATGATTGCTGGGTATTGCATTGAAGTGATCCATATTAATCATAAACCTAGGATCTCTTTTCCTTTGTTTGTCTTTGTTTGCTTTCTTTAGAATTGTTTAAACCTTTCAAATTTCTGCTCTCTTTCTACTTACTTTCACAAGTTTCAACCTAATAGCAATGTTGTATGCAAGTCCTTATTTGAGCCTTGATTGCTTATTTGAAAAGTCACAATTGTAACATGGCCGGGACCACACTAGTGGATCTTGAGGGGTGCCTAACACCTTCCCCTCGAGATAATTTCTAGCCCTTACCCAAACTCTGGTTTCTTCAACTCAAACCCTTCTTAAAGTGTCCTAATGCAGTATAATCATTAGGTGGCGACTCTCCAATTTCAAGACCCAATCCTCGAAAGGGAATAGAGTTGTCCTCCCAAATGTCGTAAACCCGATTTTGCCTTAGAAAAAGGGGGCGTCGACACCCCCCATATATCTGATAACACAACACATCTGAAATTTCTTCATCCAACCTAGCCCATAAGCCTTAAAATCCAATTTCCACATCCGAAATTTTCTATAAGATCAGAATCACGCGTCCACACTCTGTATAAGTATGAACAAGCTGTATCCAGCTATAGCCATAACCCAAGATGAAATCACATGATATACCACATAACTCAAACACTCACAACGATGATTTCTAATCACAACGGCTGCCCAAAACAATCAAACGCTGGTAATAACCTCGTATCAAATAGAGCCTCGTTCTAATGCCCTACTACTACCAACGATGGAAGAAGCACACAACAACTCATAACCATTCATCAGATCAACCAGTGGTGGAACGCCCTTTCCTTCAACCAGAACTATAGCCAATTTCTAAGCCGATCAGCGACATTACCCTTTTAAATATACCATAATCAAACCCGACAGCACCTATTCTTGCTCCGGCAACCTCATCTTATCAAATACAAACTACTCTACTTCCATGTCACACCGATACTACCCAGAGCCACACCCGTGAAATCCATGCACCAATATGCAACAATACAAACGTACTCAAATATAGAAAAATGACTCCAATGAGAGAACCGTCCCAAAAGCTGAACCAGTACTACCATAATGCAATGCTAAAAACCCATCACACACCGTAGAACCAAGACACACGAATCTAACACAAAGGATCATACCCCAACATAACTTCGCTATACGGCGCGATCCCATCCAAACGCTGGTCCATATTATATACCTCGCTCCGCCTTGCTCAAAATCAATAATCACGTGACATTCGACATCAAGTATTCAAAGTGCATTACCTTAACCACGAGAATCAGACAATACAATGCCACACAAAACCCGAAAGAACATAACCAATACGCCTCAATCCTGTAATACTGAATTACTCATCTCACTCAAATTCTACCATAAAGCCCAAATAGAACCGCACCATGGGTGTATATAGCCAACGAATCACAATCCCTCGTAGCATAGAAGGGTAACTCATAGAACATATTGGAAAACGAGTAAGCTCAACTCTAACCGAATGACACATCCCTCAACAACAACAGTACGGAGTCAACCAATCCGACTCGATGTACAACACACATCCATATTGGGCCTACCAATGAACCCCAAATCACTTCCAAAATCCCACAATAGTTGAATCACAACACATGCTATCTTCTGACCAACCTCGGCTACGTTTTCAAAGTCCACAACCACGAAACAATCTACTCATGAGAACTCCCAGTCTCCAAATTCATAGAACACACGGATCACCATATCTGATCTCAACTCCACCGCCTGAATGTCTAATGCTACTCCAGTACACAACCATCCCACGAGGAATACTTCTATAATTCTTCTGTTCCATAAGGCAAAATTTGAACACCACTAGTAGATCAAACAAGAGAGTGCCACAATTCCAATGAAGTGTCCATAAATCAAAACATATTGCCCCTTTTGAAATGTATACTCTCATCAAGCCATACCAAGTAGAAATGTCATTTACCTAGTCATCTGAAACTGTCCATGTTGCCTAAGGATTTAGGACCTTCCTTTTAAAACCGAATCGTAACCTTGCACATGCAAATCTCAATCTTACATATCACACCACACCTATTATGCCATCATATGAAGAAAAAAATCTCAAGATCAACTCTGAGTAGCAATCAAACTACGTACTCAATTAGCTAAGAATCCTCTATTTGATCTCGTCCAGAAGAAAATCACAATACGCAACATGCTCCACACACCAATAGTAAATTTACATCTCAAATCGTGGTAGAAGCCATCGAGAACTCTCTGAATCCTTGCACAAAACCAAACCGTCAGGACTGAATCCTCCTATCTCAACAAAGCTACGCAGGTCACCAAAAACCTAAGAGCATTGCCACGAAACACCTATGAAAACTCACCACATCATAAGCACCCAAAGAACCGATCATACCCATTACCATTTCCGATCCAACCTACTACTAAGCTATCCTATTTGTCCAAGTTCCTTCTAAATTACCTTCAAATTGATACTTCTCCTCGCCAAAATACCACAATCCTCATCCAAGACTCACCACACGAGACCCTAGCATAAAACCACACCGCCCTAAGGCTCATAAGCCGCTGAATGTTCTCTTAAGTATCCAAAAAGTACCACAACCGAGATACCCTCTCTGAAGAGACCTTTTGTGAATTTAGAGATGTTCATTTTTACCTTTCTGATACTAAATGTATAATCCATAATGATATAGAAATACTACGAGTCTCGACACCACCCAATGTAACTCTCAGCTTCTAGCCATATACAAATCTGCAACATTCTCAATTGCCACGTATAAATCTTGAATTCATTAACCATTCTCGAGAGTCATCCCACTCTACTAAAATCTCAATTAGACTAGTCAAGATGACCGAACGACATGTACCTCATTAGCACTCCAACACCCAAGGAAGTACCCCACCTTAATACAACTAAATAAATTCTTGCTCCATGCACATCGCATCCTTCACCAATAACAACTCAAATCATTCAGTGATTCTCATATACTCATAAAGCCTAATACAGCTCGTACCCAGAAATTCCTTTAGTCAAGTCATCCTCGATTTCACCCTCTATACATAACTCATTCACAAGTATACCTCAAACCAAAACCAATACATCACATCACTTTATAATTAACTTATCAATAGTAGACTACCCCACTTGGCTCAAAGCCATAGTTCGAAACACACCATAACTCACAATGCCCATACCTTATTATAGCCATAATATCACATTGGGATTCAACAAAATCCTCCATAAGCTCATGTAACACAAACCATCTAGCATCTCGAATCATCTGCAAATCTCGCATTCACCCTTGTAATAGTCAAGTCCGCTATCACAAGCGATCCAAACTCAAATTGCAACACATATATTTTATTATTGAAAGAGAACTCGCTACAAAACAACACAGGGATCACACGACCCTCAGGACACCCCGCAGGAGATAACCCACCTGCTTCGCCTCAAACTAACATCTCTTTATACCCTTCCACAGTCATAAACATTACGCAATCACTTAATCTTCCTGAGTCTGAACTCATATCACGACATAAAAATATACTTCCACTCCTCAACTAAATAACATGAAAAGGATACTGCATCACGCTTATAACTCGAGACTATACATCAAATCAGGATGGAAATCAAGCACCAAATAGTTCTTTATATACCTCAAGCAAATCCTTCTCGTCACATTCAAATCATATGAACTCATTTTGTAGTCACATCATACTCATCACGCAGCCATTCAGCCACAAATTCCACTAATAGGGCACTATCGGACATATAAATCAACAAGCATGCTCACAGAATCAACATCTCTATGCTCAAGCTATGGTCAAATCCCGACATTATGTCCTCTAGACTGGCCCTTCATCAGCACACTAAAATCACATCTCGTACCTCATCCATGGAATCGTGAGTCGTCGATGCAAAGCTAATACCGAGCGCTTAAGCACGCATACAAATGTGTGGAAGGAATCCAAAGGATTACGTTTCAAGCTGAATCAATATCGGACGACAAGAATTCAAGAATTTGAAATTTCCAAAGGGTTTTATAGCCTATCAAAGATAAGTACAGACGTCTCTATACCAATGCGCAAGACTCTACTTGTGATGACCCGGCCAGACGTCTCATGAGTTACCATTTTGTTTCCCCCATTTTTGCTTCTTATTGCTTTATATATTGGTTCTATATGTGATCAGGTTGGTTGGCTCGGGTTCGGAAAGGATTTGGTAAGGATTGAGATACTTAGTCTCTTTTGAGGAAGCTTAAGTTGGAAAATTCAACCAGATGTTGACTTATGTGTTAGAGAGCTCGGATGTGAGTTTCGATTGTTCGGATAGCTGCGAGTGGTGATTTGGAACTTAGGAGCGTGATAGAAATGAGTTTTGGAGGTCCAGAGTAGATTTAGGCTTGAATTGGCGAAATTGGATTTTTGGCGATTTCCGGTTGATAGGTGAGATTTTGATATAGGGGTCGGAATGGAATTCCGAGAGTTGTAGTAGTTCCGTGGTGTCATTTGGGATGTATGTGCAAAATTTTAGGTTATTCGGACATGGTTTGATTGGGTTTTTGATCAAAAGCATAATTTAGAAGATTTTGGAATTCTTAGGCTTGAATCTGATGCGAATTTAGTGTTCTGATGTTGTTTTGAGCATTCCGAAGGTTGGAACAAGTTTGAATGAGGTTATGGTATATTTTGGGATGTTTGGTTGAGGCCCCGGGGGCCTCGGGTGAGTTTCGGGTGGTCAATCGGGCCATTTCGTTCTTTGGAAAAGTTGCAGATTTTTTAGCTTCAGCTGTTGCAGAGTTTTCTCCATCGCGATCGCGTAGGGCTGTGATGAGGGCAAGCTAGATTGTTCTTCGCGATCGCGTGAGTTGGGCAAGTTGTGCATCGCATTCGCGTGGCTCTATCCGCGTTCGCGTAGGTTTAAGGTCCTATGCATCGCGTTCGCGTAGAGTAAATTTGAGGGCCTGGTAACTTGTGCTTTGGAATCGCAATGAGGGTCCCGCGATCGCGATGAAGGATTTCAGGCCTGGGCAGAAGGTTTAAACAGTCGTCTTGTCCGCAATTTTGGGGTTTATTTCCTCTATTGTTGAGCGTTTTGGAGCTTTTTGAAGAGGATTGAAGAGGGATTCAAGAGGAATCACTTGGAGATAAGATTCATGGACTTAAAACTTGATTCTAATGTGAAATCTACCTAATTAATCATGGAAATTAAGCCTAAAATTGAAGAACTAGGGCTTGAAATTGCAGACCTAGAAATTGGGATTTGAGGGGTCGTTTGTGGTTGGATTTTGATGCTTTTGGTATGAATGAACTCGTGGGAGAATAAGGATTCCGTTGATGTAATTCTTATCGAGTTTCGAGATGTGGGCCTGGGGGTCGGGTTTGGCAAATTTCGAGATTTTTGGTATCATTTGATTTCGCTTGGGCTTCATTCCCTTAGCATATTTTGACGTTGTGATTCTGATTTTGGATATATTTGATGTGAGTGGAGGTTGATTCGAGGGGCAAAGGCATCGCGGAGTAGTATTTTCATACGGTTTGAGGTAAGTAACCACTGTAAATCTAGAACTGAGGGTACAAAACCCCAACATTTTTACTGTTTTTCCTCATTCTATTTGTTTGAAAGCATATCCTCAGTCATGTTTTACATGTTTATTTTGTTTAAAACTGGTTTATCACTGTACTTCGTAAAATGTGAGAGTTGTTTGGACTGAGTTTCCTGAATTCTTCTATTATGCCCAAGTGGTTGTGAGGTTAATGACTGAGAGAGATTGAAGACCTAATCGTGAGGATTATATTATGGANTATTGGCAAAAGGCGACTAGGGAATGGATATATATATATATATATATATTATGGATCGGGCTACACGCTGCACTGATACTTATATTGATCGGGCTGCACGCCGCAGCGATATATATTGGATCGGACTACGCGCCACAGCAATATGATGCTTGGGCTGTAGGAGCCCCTCCGGAGTCTGTACACCACCAGTGAGCGCAGTCGACGATAAATTATGGATCGGGCTGCACGCCGCAGCGGTTACCATGATTATTATTATTATGAGATATTAATGACCCTGAGTGCTGAGAGCGAGTACCGAGTGACGACAGTTGAGTTACGAGTGATTGAGAGACTGCCCGAGAGGCCATATTCTGAGTGATACCTTGCCCGTGGGCCCAGTTATGACATTTTCACTGATTTCACTCTTCTTTTAAAATAAGCCTCTATTGAAAATTTGCTAAGTATATGGTTTCAAGTATTCCAATTGAAACTGATGATTTTATGACGAAACTGGTTTTTTAAACACTGGAGTTTTATTTGTTATTCTGTTGTTTATTCCATTATATGATTTTTAACTGTTCGTCATTGCTTTCAGACCTTATTTACTTTAGTTGCTTACTAAGTTGGCATACTCACATTACTCCTTGCACCTTGTGTGCTGATCTAGGTGCCCGAGCGGCAGAATGAGGGTCCTCAGCTTATCCAGAGTTTGCCGGAGATTGCAAGGTAGCTGCATGGCATCCGCAATCCTGCTTTCCTCCTTCCTATCTTGTCCTTTTCTGCATTTTTAGACTTATGATGTATTAGACAGTCGGTTGTGTATCTAGAGGCTCTAGATTCGTGACACCAGATGTTTGGGCTGTGTTGTCTTATGTTTAATTGATTTCCATACATTTTTAGTTGTTTTAATCACTACTTACAAAACTTGGTATTTAAACTCGTGTTAGAAAATGGTTTTATAAAAGAAAAAGTGTTGTGATCGATATTTGGGATGGATTGCCTAGTAATGTCATAGGCGCCATCACGACCGGGTATTTGCGATCGTGACACTACTAAACCCGCTCATGAATCGTGAGACCTATGTAACCTAGGCTCTCCTACCAACTTGTCAAGACCAAAATCTAAACCCTGTCGTGATGGCGCGTATCGTGATACTAGGCAAGCCTATTTTCCCAAAAATACCACCAATTTAAGATATAAGAGTTAAGTAAAGATTCTTAATGCTAGAAATTTTCATAAAAGTCAAACCTAATTTAAATTAGAAAATGAAGAACGAAAAATGAGCATCAAACATCAGGGTGTCACAAATTCATGAGCGTCTAAGTACTTAAACTATTTGTCTAAATGTCAATACAACCAAAAAGGAGAAATAGAAGGAGTAACAAGGTCCTGCGGACACTGACAGTTACCTTGCATTCTCCAAAACTCTGACGGCCTGAACTCAACAATCGCTGCACACAAACACACCTGAATCTGGACATGAAGTGTAGGGTGTAGTATGAGTATAACCAACTCAGCAAGTAACAGTAATAACTAAGGAAATGAGTAGTAGTGACGAGCCAAGCAGTATAATTCAATTAATAATTTTTCACAGTTAAGGAATAACATGAGTAAGAGATCAGTTTCATAGATTGTCAAATACTATTAGGCAATTAACAGATAAATGCAACAACAACAAAATAAATGAAACCTCACAAGGACTGTCACTCAATCCCTCAACCCTCAATACATATGCTCAATAGGTACATGCACTCACTGGAGGTGTTCAGACTCCGGAGGTGCTCCTACAGCCCAAGTTCTAGCAGGAAAGCACATAAACACAAATAAAGGCTATTAGGCCTCACAGCCTCACGGGACAGACCAAGTCTCAATCCCTCGTGGCGTATACCCACACGCCCGTCACCTGGCATGGATTTCACCTCCAAACAGTCACATAATATCAAATCTTTGGGTTTCATACTCTCAAAACCAGATTTAAAATTGTTACTTACCTCAAATCGGTCAAATCTCTACTCCGCGATGCTTTTGCCCCTCGATTCGGCCTCCATATGCTTCGAATCTATTCACCACCAGCACATTACTATCAGTTTATGCTAAAGGAATGAATTCCACAACAAAAACTATCAAACTAGACCAAAAACCCGAAATCAGCTCAAACTCGGCCCCTGGGCCCACATCTCGAAATTCAACAAAAGTTACAAAACTTGAAAGCCCATTCACTCATGAGTCCAACTATACTAGTTTCACTCAAATCCGACTTCAAATCGACATTCAAATCCCAAAAATTCATTTTATGAAGTTTCTACAATTTTCCCTAAATTTCCACCTTAAAGTACTAATCAGATGATGAAATCATTGATATATTCATATATATTAACCAAATCCGAGTTAGAATCACTTACTCCGATGAATTTCTTGAAAAACCCACGAGAAATGTCCACAAACTGAGCTCCCTTGGTCCAAAATGTGAAATAATACCCTAAACCCTGTTTATATAGTGCACACTCTGAACTCCACTATGCGGTCCACGAAATTCCAAGCGCGGACGCCCCTCCCAGCTCCTACGATCGCATCCTTTGGTGGTTGCACTATTAGGCTTTAGTATTTTGGACATAACTTTCTCCACATATTTCCAAATGATGACTTATATACCTTTCTAGAAACTAGACACGGAGGGCTACAACTTTAGATTTTGAATCATCTCAAATATCCTTGTAGATCAAAAGATATAGGCTTTCGAAGTCGGACCAGCGGATCTGCAGAACCTTTCCCTGGAGTGTGGCCGCGGCAAAATTATGCAGTCCGCAAAATTTTGCTGAGGTCCGTGAAATTCAAAGCACCAGAACCATACTTGAGTTCCGAAAATGATGGACTCACTCAAAACTCACCCCGAAACACACTCGAGGCCTCTCGAACCTCAACCAAAGGTACCTTCAAGTCCTAAAATACCATACAAACTAATTCGAGCTCTCAAATCATATCAAACAATAATAAAAACAGGAATCGCACACCAATTCAAGCTTAAAGAACTCGAAACCTTAAACCTCTACAACCAATGTCGAAACCTATCAAACCTCGTCCGAATAACCTCCAATTTTGCACACACATCAAAAATGATACTGTGAACCTACTCTAACTCATAGAATTCTATTCTGACTCCGATATCAAATTTTCCACAGGCGACCGAAAATCGCCAAATTTTCAATTTCGCCAATTCAAGCCTAATTCTACCATGGACCTTCAAAACACAATCCGGATGCGCTCCTAAGTACAAAATCACCCAGCGTCGCTAGCGGAACCATCAGAGATGCAATCCGAAGTCAAATTCTAAAAAGTCAAACTTGGTCAAACCTTTCCAATTTGAAGCTTCTTGCCGAGAATCATTTTTCTACATTAATTCTGAACAACCGGTCGAAGTACAACTGCTCAAAAGTTACACTAGGTCACTTGTCTCTCCCTCATCAACACCATATAGTGACTCATCTGTATCATCATCAGCAGAGAAAATAAGCATACATCTTTCCGAATATCATGAATATACTTCGCTTTATTAAATCTAAAAAGTTGGCTCAGTGCCCTATCTGCCTTTAACTGAAGGGGTGCATCCACCGAAGATGGCAGCGGGAATCATCATCATCAGAAATAGCCTCATAATCACCATCCTCACTCTCGTACTTCCCTCATCACCCTCAAAATCAGTTGCTAAATGAAAGTTGTAGAACTCACATTCATCTTCACTAGACTCTTCTGTATCCTCTTCTATATCCTCTTCTATATCAGCAGCCCTCTCTTTACCCTTCCCATGAGTGTTATCACCCCTACTTATATCATTGTTAGGTGAGTGTGTTGCCCTAGCATTAACATCACTAGTTTTCCCATGTGGCATTTCATTAAAGCCACATAGTTGAACATCAGTGGGGTCCACATTTATACCACCACTATTTAACATTTCATCCAGGTCCAAATCAACACAAGGTGTATTAATTGTGTGACATAGATATACATCAAAAAAATCCCCACCTTTAATGTCTTTACACAAAGCTAACACTAAATTCTCCTTTTTGGTTAATTTTACATGCATATTTATCTAATGTTAAATACCCCATATCCTTAGCCCACTCATTAAAACAAATTATATGCAATTCATCAATGTCAGCCTGAAGAATAACTGGCCAAATTTGCCCATTTACATACCTCATAAATGGGTCAGCCACTAAACACCCTAGATGATGAAACAGTAATTTCACACAGACAGTCATTAAAACCTATAAAAAAACGGCCTAAGTCAATACACTTTAAATCTAAAAAGCCATAAACTTTAGCAAAGTAGGAGACAAGAATATTTTGATATGCAAAAAGGTCCTAATATTTGACCCTAAATGCCAGATCAGTCATGAAAAAGACAAAATCCCTAAAGTAAAGTGAATATTCGACTGTTTTCCCGAAAAACCCTAATATAAAATCCGAAATAACAATAGACAATTTGTGCATGTGTCACGACCCAAAAATTGACCCAGTCATGATGGCGCCTATCGTGAAACTAGGCCAGTCAACTTATTTCCAAATACTCCATATTTCATTTAAAACTTAAGAAAAAACATGTTTTTAACAGAAATCCGATTAATGGTATAAAGTAAAAATAATCAAAACAAGCGGAAAGTACAAGCCCGACCTCAGGTGTTACTAAGTCATGAGCAAAATACTACAACTATTCAAAATAAACAAGACTAACATAGTCTGAGAATAACCAACAATACACTAAGAGGAAGATAAGGAAGGAGAAGGCGGGTGTAACGATCCGGCCGGTCGTTTTTAAAATTAATGCCCTGATCCCCTATTAACTACTTCCCCCGTGTTTATTTCCACTATTTTGGTTTGTCGGGACGTTCAGTTTTGAGTTGCAGAGAGTTTTGGGACACTTAGTCACTAAATGAGAGCTTAAGTGTTGGAAAGTTGACCATAGTTGGAATAGTGTGAAGACGGCCTCAGAATGGAAATTCGATGGTTCCGTTAGCTCCGTTAGGGGATTTCAGGGTTAGGAGCGTGATCGAAATGTGTTTTCGAGGTCCGTAGCTAATTTAGGCTTGAAATGCCGAAAGTTGAATTTTTGAAGTTTCTGGTCCGATAGTGAGATTTTGATTCGGGGGTCGGAATGGAATTTCGAGAGCTGCAGTAGTTCATTTATGTCATTTGGGATGTGTGTGCAAAAATTTTAGGTCGTTCGGAGGTGGTTTGGGTGGGTTTTTTTATCGAAAGCGTATTTTGAGGAAATTTGGAGTTCTTAGGCTTAAATCCTTGATTAATTCAAGGTTCCGATGTTGTTTTAGGTGTTTTATAGATTGGTACAAGTTTGAATAAGGTATTAAGTGATGTTGGTATTTTTGGTTGAGGTCCCGGGGGCCTCGGGATGATTTCGGATGGTTGACGGAAGGATTTCGAAGTTAGGAGATTGCTGAATTCAGTTGGTATCTGTCATAACCGCACCTGTATTTTGGTTCCGCAGGTGCGGAGCAGCAGAAGCGGCATAGAGACCGCAGAAGCAGATTTTTGGCTTTCCTTCAGGTTTCGCAGATGCAGAAGGTTCACCGTAGAAGCAGTTTTGCATATGCCAAAAAAGAATCGTAGATGCGGCTCCTGAGCAATTTAATGAAAGTCGCAGATGCGACATTTGGTCTGCAGAAGCGTAACCGCATCATGATCGCTGATGCGGAAACCGCTGGGCAGAAATATGAAATTTCGAGGGTTTAGTTTCAAAAGTTGAAAAATCGATTTGGAGCTCAGAAGAGGGAGATTTTGAGAGGGAATTGAAGAGGAGATCATTGGGTAACGATTCTTTAACCCTTTCTAGTTATATTCCATCAATCTATAGTTAATTTCACCATTTAAATTCGGATTGGAGATGAAAATTGGGGAAAAATTGGAAGAAAGTTCCTAGACCTAAAATTCGACTTTTGATTGGGAATTTGACCTAGGATTTGGATAATTTTGTTATGCATGAACTCGTGAGAATATGAGAATTCTGAAAATATAAATTTTATCCGATTCCAAGACGTGGGCCCGAGGGTCGTTTTGGTCATTTTACATAATTTCGCGTATTAGCTTAGAATTTAATTGTAGAATCAGTTACTTGAAGTGTTATTTATATTATGAAATTGAATTGAATAGATTTGGGCCATTTGGAATCGAATACTCGTGGCAAAAGCGTGGTTTGGGGTTGATTTCAGCATTGTTCGAGGTAAGTGGCTTGTCTAACCTTGTGTGAGGGACCTTCCCCTTAGGATTGGTATATTTGGTAACTAAATTTCCTAGTGCGTGAGGTGACGAGCGCGTACTTGTGCAAATTTTTGGAAATCCATTTTTTCTTAAAGCATTCATTAGCATGTTTCTTTTCCTGCTTTATCATACTTGCTAATTTAGCATGTTGTTAGTTAAAAAAGCATGTTTAGTTGACTTAAATTGCCTATTTGCTTAAA